ATCTCCAACATATATGCCTACCTACAAGTGTGAAAACATAACATGTATGGGACCTTTGCCATCAAAGTCGGCTACATAATATGCATCTACGTATCCTTAAATTGAAACATCATCATGCTGTCTCTCAAACATTATACCACACTCCATTGTAACTCTCAATACCTGAAAATTCACTTTACAGCCCTCCAATGTTGTCTGCCAGGATTAGCCATGTACTTGTTCACCACACTGACTACATGTGCTAAATCTAGCCTGATACATACCATTGCATATATCAAAGATCCTGCTAGCATAAGGCACATTTGCCAATGTTATTAGACAATTTGAAGTGATTTGCCAATATGTACCCATTAGTTTTGCATTGGACATGCTAAACCTCTCCCACACTTTCTTCAAATAATTTTTTTGAGACGCCTATAATTTTTTTTGAGATACAATTGCAGTGGAGATTGCTCCATGAAAATCTGCTCCTCCAAATCACCATGAAGGAAAGTGGTCTTCACATCCAGCAGCTTTAACTCCAAATCAAAACTGGCTACCATTGTCAAGACAATCCTAATAAAAGTACGTCTCACGATTGGAGAGAAGCTCTCATTATAATCTACCGCTTTCTTCAATTCTAGCACATGCCTAATATTTTCCAAAGTCCTCACCACACCATCGAATATTTTAAATTTTATGGACCACATTCTAATGATCTTACATGATGCATCATTACCTATCAGAATAGATCTAAAATTACCTGAATGGTATGAATCAAACAAATCCCGTTGAGAACACATGTGATATAAACAGGCTGAATCAAGTACCCAAGAGTCATGTAATCTGTCAAAATTACCTGCAGAGATTGGTAGTATGTCTCCATCTTTAGAATCTGAGTCTCCTTCTGCAACACTAGCGGATTTTGAGGATTCATCACCTTTCATTTCATCACTATACTTCTTATTCGGACAATCTTTTTTAAAGTAACCCATCTGATGGCATTTGAAGCACTTGATGTTTTTCTTATTTTGATTTCTGGATTTCAATCTTGTATTCCCTTTGTAATAACCACTTTTATCATTCTTTCATTCACGATCCTTGTAACCCTTCACTATCAACCCTTCACCCTGCAAACTTTCATCAGTACGCAGTTTTCGCTGATTGTAGGCTAAAAGGGTTGATGTGATTTTGTCCAATTTGAGAGTCTATTTACCCCCACCTCAATGTAGTTACCAGGTGGTCGTACGAGGAAGGAAGATAGCACAACAATATCATTTCCTTAACTTCATCATCAAACTTGATTTCAAGTCGTAAAAAATTGCTGATAATTTGATTAAACATATTTGTGTGTTAAATCATGTCTGTACTTTCCATCATTTTGAGCTCGTACAGTTACTACTTCAGATGTAGCTTGTTCGTGAGAAAGTTCGACATATAACGACTCTCCAATTTCAACCAAACCTCTGCCGGATACTCAATGTCCATGTCGTGATACATGATCTCGTCCACCAAACACAGCCCAATTGTACCCGTTGCTAGCTACTCAAGTTTTTTCCAATCGATATCTGACACACCTTCTAACTTCTTCCCAGATAGATCATTCACCATCCCTTGCTGCACCAGCAACTTTACCCTTTTCTTCTATAATTCGAAATTCCTAGTTCCATCGAACTTCATCACATCAAAATTTGCAATCGAAGAACTCGTCATCTAGACCTGGAGCTCTAATACTAGATGTTGGATTTTAAACACAAAATAATAGATAAGTGAAATAAAAAAATCAACACAACTATTTAACGTGGTTCGACTATATGCTTACGTCCACAAGGAGTGAAGCAGAGATTTTATTCAGTATGAATAACAGGATTACATCATCAGTATTTATACTAACCTTAGCCTAAGCCCAACAAGACTTTATGGCTCATACAAGAAAAAATACAAATGTACTATACTAGGAACAACCTATTCAGCATCCCTAGCAAGCAAACAATAAATTAAACCCATAAAGCTGAAGTCATCGCTCCACTCTGTTCTGTTTGGTGCGTTTTGCTTCTGCATCGGTCATTTTGATTAGTAAACTTGTGTTCCACTCTATATGAGCCACACATTCAACAATAAATTTACCAAAAAGTGGGATTTCTAGCATTTGAGAGATTTAGATTTGTCCTAGCACTCTAAACTCTTGCAACTTGCAAGGGATGTAAAAGATATAAACACTAGAACTAAGATTCCTCTTTCAAATTCATTTGATGTCACACAACATTGGAAATTAGTCAATGGTAGTCAGATAATTTAAGTACAATAATATAATAAAGTGTTTTGATATGCGTAACCTCGGTGTACATCCCCCTCACAATAAGGGGTCCACGATTTTTTTATTGGGCGAGGACTCCCCTACTGTGAGGGCTTGTCAATCCTCATGTACAAATAGCAAAACCCTATAATAAACACACAAATGAAGTATTAACCATTTCGATTAGATCTCAAGTTATTTTTGTCCTTGTCTACTTGACTTCTTGTATCATCTAAAATTTATTTAATCCTTTCAAAAAAAAAAAAAATTTATACTCGAAGAATATTGAGCTCATATTTGAGTCATATTCTTTGAAAACTCATTTTTTCTCACATTTATTTTCAATAACACATTTTTTCAATAAAATAATTTTAAACGTAAATCCAAAATCCTTTTCTACTTTCACACATTCTCCAAAAACATTACTACTATAAACAGCGGCGGAGCCAGGATTTTTTTTTGGGTGGGCAAAATTTATATGATAAATGTGTGGCTCCCCTTTGCAACCATGCTAAATACACTAACAACTAATAATGAACAAATATATATACACATACATAAAATCTTTCATATATTTATTGACATTACATAACGCATAATTGGGAGAGAGGGGTAAAAGAAATATATTATTTTAGTGTTATTGATAGAACTGGAGTTCGACTCCTGGATGAGCAGTTGAGCATGATATGAATAAGGAAAAAAGCATATACTCTAGACGCATTCCTGTGTGAGGCCACCCTATCAACCGTCGAGCTTTCACCACCAACCTCTGAACTCATATCCTGTTCATCCAAATTATTGTCATTTGTGCTCGAAACTGCCCTAAACAAGAGCGAAAGAGAGTCAACGTTTGGTAATTAAACACTTAGATTAGACCTCAAAGACTCAACCAAATTGAGCTTGCAATTGGGTGTAAGGCTAGCAAAACCCTTCACTAGAGAATACACACGGTCGAAAATTTGTTGCTCTTAGATGTAAAATAACTCTTTATCCAACAAATCGAAGGAAACCCTTGATTTTCAAAAAGACCTAGAAACCAAGAAAAGATTCATCTCCAGCATATTAGCAATCATATTCAGTATTATGCTCCTTTGAGATTCCCAATTCCACGAATTTATCAAATGTTTCTTCAACTACTTGCTACAGCCCAGATTCGTTTCTAGCGAATTCAGATTTTTGGGATTGGTAAGTGGACCACCCTTGCCGAGTGTGGCTCCACCCCTAACTATAAAATCTACTTTTTCAAAAAATGGGCCTCAAACAGAGCTTAAATATGATGATGTTCAAGACAGAAGCAAAAAAGCATCTAGTATTTGAACAATGTGACTAAGGATAATATTTCCATGGAAAACAAAATGGAAATCATATGAAATTAAAATGAGAAGATTGTCGATTCAATGATAGTTAGACAATATTCTGAGTTGAAAATTGAGCAATAGAATTATTGAAAATGATGGACCTTTTCTTGTTTTCTCCATTTTTCTGAAGCTCAAAATATTTTTCGGCATGACTTGCAACTTGGGTTTAGGTCCTTGTACGAACATCATATATTGATATACTCTTCCAATTTCCATTGCCATATTTTTCCTAGCCCACTAAAAATAACCTATTGTACATGTAGGTAACAAAGTCAAACTATTACATCTAAACACGTGTCTCAATCAAACTATAATGTTTTGTCCTATTGGATATTCCCATAATACAATTTGAATACATCAACGCATCATCAATCTTCACAAATAAAAAAATATCAAAGGTGTAATGTGTCGATGTGTCAAAAAATACATTAGCATCTTCACATTTGTTAAGAAGTGATAAATGTGTCGATGTGTCAAAATGTATTGATGGACAACTAGAGGGACATCGACGATAAATGTCAACTCATTGAAAGAAAGTAAGTTTTGAGAATAGCATAATAAGAATGTTAAAAATAAAATTGGAAATGCTATTAGAAGATTCTCACTATCGTAATCGTCCTATGTAATACACATGTGGTGGTCAGTGATTTGATGCATTAATGTGGTAATTTTTTTACATCAAATCATTAACCGCAACATGTATAACACATAGAGCGCCTACAGCAATGAACGACTGCAAATAGCATTATTTATTTTAAAATCGACTATTGCACCCAACTTCCCATAAATTATCATAAGATTAAAATTTCAAAGTCTAGTCAAAAGACAGTCCGACAAATTAACATGAATCCAAATAATTATATACACAGAAAACAAAATAATCAATCGTCATCAGGATACTCTTTTCTGCACCTTCTTCTGGAATTCACCAAACACTCGGCTTCTTCAGATTCCACCCCCGCCACCGGTGTATCGTCTGTATATATTGGCGGCGGAATTAACCTGTCCTCAATTAACGCCAAATCATGCAACAAATCATCGCAGTGTTTAATACAATTTTCCCATCAATTTATCTAATCTGAATTGGTCAAAAATTATTCAAATGAATTTGTAATTCGTTCAATATGTTTAATACAATTTTCCCATTAATTTTACGAATAAATGCTCATTTTCTTTTGTCTTGGTGTGAAAATAATAGTCGAATGTTTCAACAAAATCAGCCAAGAGAATAATTATTTCTTGAAAACAAATGGAAACAAGCTTTACTAACAACAATAATCACTGAATACACCAACAAATTCGTACACATATTCTAAAACGACATTATTAAATAGAACAGAAATGAGAAATGGATCCTATAAATTAATTCAGGGGCAGTTAACCATTTCTCCATGGATCATGACCCGACCCCAATTGGTGCATTTCTTGGATCCGACGGGTACACATTTGTCCTTGGCACAGCAGGCAGTACATACTTTCATGCATGGCCTTTTGGGGCTCACTGGTTTGCAGTACTCTTCACACATGGCCACACAACCTGCAGGAGAGCAAAAAAGGGGTCAAGAATGTCATCGACTTGATATGTACACAATTTTTATAACAATCATGTCATACGTACATCACCCTTTACGTTTTCTTTTACACTTGGCCATGTGACAACACATCATTGGACAATTTAAATTTTACACAGTTTTTTCACCCCAATCAAGTCAAGGAAAGAGTGTACAAGTGGCATTTTTCTTTTTATAAATGCTTTGACAAACTTAACTTTTTTAACTTATGCCTTAACACGCCCTCACTTGCAGGTTAGATTCATTTTTCAATCAAATGCTTGAAATATCTACAATTTTCACGATGGGTATCTTGCACGCGGTGACACCACCAGAGGCGCCATGCTTGCCCCCAAGCCCATTAAATTTTTAAGGCAGAAAAAAATGGGAATTTTGAAAATAAAAATTGTTCTCCTTTACTCCGTTCCTGGATACGATGTTGAATAACTTCATTTAAATTTTAAAAGGTTTAATTGTTAGGAAGAGACAAACGTATTTATTTAAAGTTAATATTCAACATACCATGTATCGGAGCAATGGGAGCTGTAGGAGCCTTTAATGGAGGATGAACAGGAGGTTTTGCTGGAGCATGGATAGGAGCTTTCTTGGGAGGAGGCACATAGCTGGGCGCCTTTAATGGAGGATGAACAGGAGGTTTTGCTGGAGCAGGGATCGGAGCTCTCTTGGGAGGAGGCACATGGTGGTGCTTTGTTGGTGCATGGGCCGGAGCATGAACCGGAGCCTTCTTTGGAGAAGGGACGGGGGCCTTCACCGGGGCATGAGCCGGTTCTTTGGCATGAGAATGCTACAAACATTCCACGTAAGAATTATGTTAGTAACAAGTTGCACAATATAAGAATTAAAGCTTCCATACGAGATTGCTCAACAATTTTTTTTAGTGAAAGCAACATACCGTTCTTGCAACTAAGACCACGAATGCTAATAAAAAGAGTGCCGTTTTAACTGCCATTTTTGATAGCAGAAACGAATTATCACACGACGAAGAGGAAGAAAAGAACCAGATTTTGTGAGTAATTCTGTTTACCGGTAGCATATGCAATGCAAAATGGAGGTATATATAGGAAGAATAATGGGAAACAAAGCCATAAAAGGCTGGAACTAGTAGTGTTGGACTGTCCAGATATGCTACCCCAGATAAAAGCAGTATCAGTTTGAAGCTGCTATTTTAATTTCTATAATTAGTTTGAGGTTATTATTTTTCTGGGCTCAAGAAAATTGTCCATTATTTTAATATAATTTATTCATTTATGTGTCATTACAGAATGAAAATAATATTAATTTATTTACCAAGATGAGGATAGTTGCACTAATCAATGCAAGATTTCGTGGTTCTCCTTTTGACCACCACCACTTGTTCAAAATCTTTTGAGTAAATCAAACTCGCATGAGTAGCCAAAAAGTTTCACTTATTTTACTAATACGAAGCATTTACATTTTCTTAATATCATTTTTCATAATTCTCTTAATAGAGGCAAGTGCACCCTTAATCAATTTCAAAATCACATTTCCAATTTTATCAGTGAAATCAGCTTTCTCAAGTGTTCCTACTGAAATTAAATTTCTAGACAATTCAGGGATATACCTAACATCTTTTAAAGTATGCACAAAGTCAGTATCAAACTTTAAAGTAATATTACCAATGCCAACGACATTATAAACAGAATTATCACACAACACAACATGCCAATCGTTAGATTCATGCAAATTTTCAAACCAATCTTTTGGTGATGTCACGTGAAAAGATGCACCAGAATCAAGTATCCATTTATCTAATCGAGAGTTGACAGTTAAATTTAATTCAGCAGAATAAGCAGCATGACTTGTAATCATATAGACTTCACCATCATAATTATCAAAAGTAGAAGACAACACATTTACATCATCTCTATCTCTACCCTTTTGCTTATTCTTCTCTACTAGACTCACCACTACTTTGGTAACCATCATGACTGTTTTGCCTAAACTGAGTTATACCCCTCATCATGTGAATCTCACCGCTTTTCCTATCATGTTTTTCAGCTTTAATCTCCATCTCCTTACTTCTAAGGGAGTCAATGACAATTTCGGGCGTCAAAGTGTCTCTACCATACTTAATAGCATTTTTACTTCCCTATAAGTATCAGGAATAACATTCAGCAAAATAATAGCTTTATAAGTCTCAGACACTGACTCGCCGCAATTAATAATATCTTGAACAAGGTTGTTAAACACGTCTAAATTATCATTAAGATCTTTTGAAGAATCTATTTTGAAATTGAAAAATCGTTCAAGTAAGTAAAGCTTGTTTTGAGTAGATTTGAGCAAATACAGGTCTTTCAATTTTTTTCAAAGCTCTTTAATGGTTTTCAGTTTACCACTTTTCTCAAAATTGCATCAGCCAAGTGTAAAATAATTGAGGTATAAGCAAGCTCATCAGCTTCTTCTTTTTGTTCTTTTGAAAAATCAGCGGGAAAGTTGCCATCAATGGCTTTTGAAACCTTTTGTTGAACCAAAATACTTCTCATTTTTTGTTGCCAAATAGAAAAATAACATTTTCTATTAAAAATTTCCAAATTAAAATTGTGCGTTGTCATTTTCAAAACAAGAAATACAAAGTCACAGCCACACAAAGCAGACCTAGGTTCGCAAATATACACTGTTTTAGATTCCCAGGGTTTCGTAAGATTCACGATCTCAGATCAAGTAAATTTTCAAACGGGTAAGGTCTAGGTATTCTAATAATTTAACACTGCAACAAGAGATATGTCAACTAAAAAATAGTTTCACTCACAATATATCACAAAAAATAATATGCTGCAAATTTATCAAATGAACAAATTTCAAACACAGTAACGAAGAGCAAGTAATTCCTAATTTCTAACACAAGCAATGGTTATCTCACACAGTAACCCCAATCTTATTGTCACCCCCACACGATGAAGGCGAACACGATTTTAAATTTGCTCTTTAGCAATTTACTAAAGTAGACCTGTCTGAGTCCGTAAATTACGAGAGATGTGAATTTACTGCTTTAGGACCGCAATTTATGGCCTAAAGTAATTCGGTAAATATATTGCAGTTGTGACCGTCAAACCCACCAAGGGCAAAATCATCCAACTTTTCCTGCGAAGCCTGAAACACTAAACTAATAATATCAGTACGTTCAGGAAATTAAAATAAGCAAACTGCCTCAAGAGAGCTCGTCAAAAACAGCCTCCACGCGTGCACACGTGCCTCCACTACCGGCAGTCTTCTCCACCACGCGCACCACCCCTAGATGTGCCTCGGCCTGAAGAGTATGGATGTGGTCTCAGATTTTCTAGCCAGTCACTGGTTTGGCCGAAATCAAAGGAAACAGGTTCGGAATTTTAAGGAAAATCGCGAATCTCCTTCTTCCTCTCCGTCGATTTCATCAGGATTCACACCAACCCAGAGCTTTGATACCAAAAGTAGAATAGTGGACTCCAAGTTTCACCAAGAACCGGACTTAGGGCTGTAAGTAAAAACCGCCAAACCGATTTGGTTTAGGTTTGAGTTTTTCTCAAACCGGTCAAAACGGTTTGGTTTGAAAATTTGTCAAACCGGACCGCTTACACCCCTAACCGGACTCAATATTGACCAATCAACACCACAATCGACAAACCTAATATCAAACCAACACAACTCCACAACGACCAGTTGCTCAAGAATTTGGCCACAGAAATAAGACTAAGGATGGAGGATATAATAGCCACAGGAAGGCTAAAAAATGAAGAAAACACAAGCACAAAGCAGTGAGCACGAGCGTGAAGGCAGAGAGCATAAAGCAAGCCAAGATCGCCGTTTTTTTTCTTCTCAAACAAAGGCTATTAATTTCACTCACCAAGCAACAGTAATGGACACGGTTAATATAAGGGAAATTAGGTATGGGCTTTAGGTTACAAAAATTAGGGCCCAATAGGAAATATGTAAGTGGGCTGAGAAATCGAAAAAGCCATCCAAATCTTGGGTTGGGCCTTGAGCAGCACTAATTAAATTAGATTGTTTCAAATGGCCCAAGTGGATTATGTGATTGGTTTACCAAATTGTGATGTCGATATACATTCAGTCATTTGGTCGATGCTGACTAAAATAAACAATACTTACATCATTGCTCAGGGAAGTCGTTTGACAACATTTTGCCTAACAAAAGCTACTTGGGTTTTTCTATATTAACATTTAGCTGTGCTCCTAATTGATTCAAGTCTCCGACTTCTGGATTCTGATACTAGAGGTAGTAGTATGTAATAAGATTATCAAACTAAACCACCTACAAATTCGCTCAATATGCATTTTTTCTATATTTGGATAGATAGAGGAATCATCAACATATGTCGGTAACTCAGATGAAATTACCAACAACAATACCGTCGATCATGGCGACTCGCCTCCGTTGGTGATTTTCGATGAATCATTTTAGCAAAGTAGCACCGGACCTTAACATCTATGAAATAACAACAACAAAGAAAATGATTATTGTCAAAACAACTTGTCAGTGATTTAGAAATCTTCAATATATGTTGGTAATTCAAATGGAATTACCAACATGAATGCTAAACGTCGTCCACGATGCTCCGGTCGCTGACCACAAATGAGAATTCATTGATATTGCTGACAAAAAAAAAAAAAAAAT